AGGAAATATATAGAAGCTTGAATCATTCGTCAATGAGTAGCAGTTCCCATGAATGGAAGCTCTTACTAACATTGGGACAGTTGATGTCAGTGAGTAGCAGTTCCAGTGAATGAAAGCTCTTACTAACATTGGGACAGTTGAAGATGAATTTTCCACCACAGAGTTTTAATATTGTTTGGTATTGAAATGACAGATTAATTGCAGCAAGCCCCCACTGCTAACTATTAAAACCCAGCTGAGGTAGGAGAGCACAGCAGCACCACACCTAACCTTGCTCTAGGGCCAACTCCAGCTGAGGTTGGAAGGCAGCTCTGGAGAAGATCTAGCCCTACATCCATCCCTTTGCATCCTGACAGGTTTTGAAGATGATTACAGCCTCTCTGGGTAATCTGCTCCACTGTCTGACCACCCTTGCAGAGAAGTTTTTCTGATGTTTAAACAGATTCGCCTGTATTTCAATTTGTGCCTCTCAGCCTACCACTAAGGAGCACTAAGAAGAGCCTGGCTGGTTTTACTCCCCTTCCATCATGTTGCTAAGGTTCCTCCTGAGCCTCCTCCAGGCTGAGCAGTTCTAACCCTCAGCCTCTCCTTGGACAAGATGCTCCACTCCTTAATTATCACCATCATGATCTCCAGGCTGAGCAGTTCTAACTCTCAGCCTCTCCTTGGACAAGATACTCCACTCCTTAATTATCACCATCATGACCTTTTGCTGGACTCGATTCACTAAGTCCATGTCTCTTGTACCAAGGAAGGCCAGCACTGGACCCAGCACTCCTGATGTTCCACCAGATCTGAGTAGAAATGTCAGCTCCTTTGACTGCTAGCAACACTCTCCTAACAGCCTGGGAGACTGCAGACCCTTCTTGTAGTTTGGCTTGTAGTCAGCTTGTTATCCACCGTGACTGCCAGTGCTTTTTCAAAACTCACCTGAACAGCAGCTTCCCTTTCCCTGCTCACACCCAGGCACCACTCAGATGGCAGAGGCTCCTTCCACACCCTCACCTCACCCCGTTCCACTGCATTGGGCACGAGGCCTGGCACAGCTCATGGCTCAGGCCTGACTCAGCAGCAGGGAGAAGCTTTTTAGTAGCCAGGAACAAGTTTAGCAAGTTCCCAGGGCTATCAAAGAAATATTTTTACAGTAAATGCTTTACTATGAAAGCTTTCATAAGAGCTTCTAAGAAGTTGGAAGTGGTACATAAAAAAATTGTCCAGTTCTCACAGTACAGAAAGCAATTTAGAAGCACAAAAGAGCACACCATTTGAAGTTCTCTACTTCCCCAGAGCAATGCAGCAACACGAATCAGGCTAAATTTCCCCAACCAAACCTCCAAAAGTATTCATGTATCAAGAGCAATGCAGCAACACAAATCAGGCTAAATTTCCCCAGCCAAACCTCCAAAAGTATTCATGTATCACCATAGCCTGTAGAAAGATTATAGTCTTTTATTGATTTCTTGTTTTACAGATTCAACTTTCAATAATAAAGTTCAATAAATCGATTCCCTAATCATAAAAACTCATTTTACACATTATGTACAGGTACCCAAACAGCATGTCACAGCGATACCACAGACCTTCAACACAGAACAAGCCGGGGAGAGGTGCTAACTGCAATGACATACATTCAGAGATCAAGTCGTGGATATGCACAGTGCATTTGGCACACCTCACTGAAGATTGCCCACACAGGGACAGTAAAATAATCCCAACTAAGTGATAACATGGATTAGTTCAACTACATTAATTCCAGGAGGAACACTTAATTCACAATCAAACCAGCCATCAGAAGAGATTTGATTAAGTTGAATCAAATGCAGCTGAACTAATCATTTTAGTTTTATTAAGTAACCCTCTATAGACAAATCCAAGGCCTTGAGATCTGTCTCCAATATTAAACAAATCTTTTTAGTTGAGATAAGCAGAAGTTTGAGGACTGAGGGGAGCTCAGGTATTAGAAGTATTCTTTGGCAGTTTGATACAAATATAAAAAAATACATTACTTTTGAGGGCTAAACTAAGCTTTTCCCATTTTATATCTTTACTGCCAGCACAGGAACTGCTTCAGTGACACACGGTAACACACATGGTAACTTAAACACAACTTCTGTTTGTTTGTTTTAATGAAACAAAATTCACATTACAGATAAACTTCAATACACCAGATACCCTTCAACAGGCTATCCACTCCCTAGGAAAATACATTAAACTCAACATTCAGTGAGAAAACTTGCCTATGTCAATGACAGAACCCAGGAAACACTGCATGACTGTTCACCTCCTCTGCAATACAGTACCTGGCACACACAAGAGACCAGTCTGCAAACTGTACTCTGAGCATTCTAGCTCATATGGAAAGTTATTTGATGTCAAAACCATTAGCCAGTTGATTACCTCATAAAAGAGAAAGAGATGTTTAAAGTAGACCACAGGTCTCTCCTGTAACTGCAATCTGATCTTAGTACGGCAAAAGCTGCAGCTAAGAGCTTATGGAATCTGCTTTACCACATTACATCAAGCTGTAACAGTTAAAATACACTGTTTCACAATGAGGCAGACATTCATTTAAAGTCTGGCAATTCCCTTTTTAAAAAAAGTTGTTTTCCCTTCTAGTGACATGGCTATCCTGAAGGAGATAAAGCCAGACTCATTTTCAAGAGGGGCAGGGGCGAAACAGGAAACACTTCCAGAATGAAGTGTCCAACAGTTCTACAGCCTGCAGGGCAGAAGGCTGCAGTATCAATGTTTGTCTCTGGTCATACAGCTCTAAAGATATTACTTCATCCAAATGCTGCCATAAACTCTCAGTTTCAAATTACTTCCAACAACAGGAACGTAACTCAAACAGAGCATTCCACAATGAAGGCCATTTAGCCAATATATATATTTAGTTATCTCAGTTTTGAGATACTGCAGTGCTGATTCACTTCATCTTCCCTCCTGTCTGCTGCAGACTCCCATTCAAACTTGTAATGCTCTGTTCAGAACAAATCTAACAAAAGGCTTAAGCAGCAAGTCACAGCCATGGAAGTTGATCCAGTCCATTTTCAGATTTTTCAGCAAGCAATGCCAGAGCCTTGACCTGCTTGTTACCCTAAGTGAGCATTTTATGGGGAAAATAGGTATACAAACAATACATAGTACTGTTAATGCTTATTCCCTGTGGAAAAGTGACCTGATGCCAAGAGATGTTTCACTCAGGACTGTAGGAATACTCTCAATTTTACCTCTTAAAAAAACCCCATAGGTAGTGCTACATAGACTGCACTATCCATTTACCATTATAGCTTCCATTCCTTTTTATGGAATGTTCTCAGTATTTTCAGAACTTCATACCTACTGCTGTCTTAATCATTCCAGCCAAGTAGCAGTCCCTTCTCAGTTAACAGACCCCTCTAGAATTCACATATTACATGGTAAATGTATCTGAAGATAAACCATTAGCTCTGAAATGCCTGACCATGAAGAATTAAAAAGAAAGAAACAATCTTCCTTGGATTTAATGACCTTCAGGGCACAGAACTCCTATTTATGCTGTCCTGTAGATTTCACAAGACTTAATTCCTTCATGTTCTTTTGGTCACTTGGACATGAAAGTGAGGGTAATTCAGCTTTGAACAGCTTTGTTTGTAGTAACTGTCTTTTTCATAAAGGAAATCTGTGAATTCCCCCTCCCCAGAGATTCTCACGCATTCACACAGACTCTCTAGAAAGGTAAGACACTTTATTGAATTTTCATAAATTAAGAAAGGACTATGAACCAGACTTATGGGTCACAGGTGCTTGTAAACAGACATCAACTCCTTCCCACGGGAAGCCTGACTCCATGCGCTCAGCCAGAAGTCACTTTCCCCAGCGTTGCTCACAGGCTGCATAGTGATGGAGGGCAGAGAAAAAGTCTTCATAGCTGACGTTCAGGTGGGAAGGCAAAGAACTGAGAAAGCAAGTTAGAAAAGTTAGCACAAGCTTCTATAAAGACCATACTACTTGTACGGCTAGTCAGAAATATCACTAAAAGGCTATTGCCTGAGTAACCCTGCAAAGGTGTTCTCAGCATTGTTATTGCCACTCAACTCCAGTACCTAAACCAGCTGTTAATATCCTGTCACACTCTCAATCAAAGCCTCCCACATTAGAGCACACAGGTCCTTCAACTTAAAGAGAAAGCAGAAGCAGCACAGGCATGCCCAGACATTTCAGTACCCTATAAATGCTCTCAGATTTGAGTACAGCAAATCTAGTCCGTTCAGTTACTGCTAAAATTGGAAAGTATTCCAGAGGTGTGATCACCTTACATTATCCTATTTCCCTTATGTCCTTAGTTTCCCTGTTAGAAATCTGTAAGCTACTCAAAATTCACACTGACAGAACCGGGATTGGACCACTGAGGTGGTGACAGATGCTGTTCTTTAAACCTGAAGCCTGCTGATGCTGAATTGAGACTGAAAAAACAACAATGAATGTTTGACAGGTTCCATTTAATTTTTAAATACCCTCAGATCAATCTCCAGATGCTTGTTTAGATGGATCTCCTCTTCTGGCTATTTCCATAAGCTAAGTCACAGAAAGACTTGCTTAGTCAGATATTATTCCAATCTGTTTCACAGCATTTATAGGCAACTCACATGATCTCTGTCAGTCTGATGTGCCACGGAAGGAATCCTAATGTGCTGTCCACAGGACCAAACTTCAATACTAAATCAGGATCAGGAAATCCATTTGTACCTGTAATAACAAGTTGAATTAGGTTTTATTAAATTAATCAGAGGTTTTGTTTTAATTCTAAACCCTAAGGCATCTGCTTTTTCACTAAATGCATGTTTTATAAAAATGAAGCTCCTGAGGACAAGTTAACAATTAAAAGCCCAAGAAGTCAGACTGGTCTTGCACCACCTGAACACAACCAACTGAGCAAAAGCTTAGGCAGCCACCACAGGCCCAGCTGGATGGTTATTTTTATGTCAGGCAGTTTTCAAAGACTTGGAAGTTACAGGAACAGGTACATTGTTTTGAGTAATAGCAGACCTTAACAATGTTGTTTAATCTGACTTGTTCTAGTTTTGTCTTGACAAACCCAATCTAAGCAGCACAGAACATGCTGTACCTTGACCCTACCTACTACAGTCCTAACTCAACCATGTGGAGCTGCAGTCAAGTAGAATAAAAGGACTATTAACATAAAAAGCTGAAGGAGGTTTCACTGAAGATGACCAACTTGATATCAGAGACCATCAGGAAAACAAGTTGTAAACAAACACCCTGTTAGATTACTTTTCTCTTTTTCACTATGGGGCTAGACAGGAATTTTAAAACCAACTTTTACTATGAAATTTCAGTCAAACTGTTGCAGCTGACATCTTTCTGGTTAGATGAGGGAGAAAGGACAGGGCAGTATTCTTTTCCCCCCTCTGTTACTATGTGGATAACATGACTCATCCCAGGGCAGAGCTAGGTAACACTGATGAATTTCACCAGGTGCCCACACTCGTACTACTCATACCTTAAAACCACAGTCACTGTCATTTCCCTAGTCAGAGCATCCTGATCGTCTCCCACTGTCTCCCTTCCACATACTTCTACAATGCCTAAGCTACTCTAGGCTAAAATTGACAGACAGGAAATAGGCTTAGAATAAACAGTCTGAGTCCAGCTTCCCCTGCTAATTCTAGCAAATTGATTACAGCAACATGTGAAAACCAGCAGAGCACCCAAGAGACCCAAGAAGCTAAGCTGTTCTTCATACCCTACCTAGCTCATCTGAAAAGCATTTCAGCAGCCACAGCCCTACTTTGCCATAATGCTGCAAATAGTAATGATAATAGCATGCTACTTCCTGTCACCCCTTCATTACCCACCAATTCTACAAGTTACCTGCACAACTGCTTACATTACATAATGAATACCTTTAGCAGATAGTTTAATACTGCCTATTTGCTCTGAACTTCAGATGTTACTTCTCAATTCTTCTCTCACTTGTTTTAAAAGAACCCACTGAACAAAAGGAGTCAAGAGCCTTTTTAAACTCCTGGTTTAGTTGTAGGGGAACTTGACTTTGAGAATCAGAACAGGAAACGACAATCCTATGAGATTTTGCTCCACCCAGGTTTTGAAACTGAAGATTTCAAAAAGTTCACATCCTCCCTCCCCACTGAATCATCACAACACTCATCCTTTTACCAGAAGCCATTTTCCCAAGCATGTGCAGTTCTAGGGAAGGATGAAGTATTTAGATATGAGTGTCTTGTGCCATAGTCCAAATCTTATCTCAAAGTTAAGAAAAAAATTGTAAAGCAAAAGCCACTTATGTGTTCAGAAGCTTGCATGTTAGTATGAAAGAGCTTTGCAGGGAAGCAGTGAATACTTAGAAGTGGGGACTGGAGGAAGTGGACAACTTTACTCATCAGCTGATTCAGTAGCTGAGTACTCGTCAGCTGGCCAGTTCAGCAGCAGAATCTTCAATACTGCAATGGCTTTTCAAACAGGAAAAGACCTTCAGAGTGCCCAGTTAATTCTAACATTTCCTTCTGGTTCCTATCTGAAGGAAAATGAAAATGTACACTGTAGTATTACTGTCAGAACAGCCTATTAAAAAACACGGTACTGTGCTTTTCACTTTGCATCCATTTCTCTACCTAAACGTATCAGCTAATCAGATAAATTACATGTGAAGCTCCCTCAGAGCTGCTAGAGTTACAGCACTCTTCAAGTTTAGCACACACAAGATGGAAAGATTTGGGAGCAGACTTGGGAAAAAAAAAAGAAAAAAGAGGCCAAAAGACTTGCACACTCAAGGAATGGAAATCTGGCAACATCCCTTCTGGGTGAGAAGTTCTGAGGGCAACATGAAGCAATTTGTAGAGCTGATAGTACTACCCTTCTCCACATAGATTTTACAGGGCAACTTCAGCAGCCTTAATTGATAGTCATGTTCTCTACTGGGAAGGCAGACACCAAGCAGAGACAACATTACAATGCAGCTGGCACCTACTTGTCTGAAAACAAGCTGGTTAGCTGAAGCATTGCTCAGAACAAAGTACTCTTACACTGCAGAAAACTCAAGCTGTAAGAATTAAGAGCATGACTGGATTAAGAACCAAAAAATGCACGACAAGCTAGAACCATACCATTTTAGGACTAGGCTTCAACAACTGCATCCTAAACATGAACAGAAAGTTAAAAAACTACATATCAGGTACTTAAATCAAAATGTGAAACCCCAGAAATTTACAGAAGTCACCACAAATGCAAACCCTAAAAATATAGCTACTTGAGTATTGCTTTTCATAACTTACTCTCAACTTAGATCATTAACTTGCAGATGTTTACATTCAATACTGTTTCATTAAGGATGCACAGAAACTAAATCTGCCTGCAAATAAAACGAATAGTTTCATAAGCTGCTACTAAGTCATGAAGTCATTCACCTCCAACTGCCCTTAAAACCAAATAAATTAATAAGCAGGACTAGTTATAGATACTATGCTTAGTTATTAGGCACATTGATTAAGCAGCCTCTTTTCAAAGTTCAGTTTTAATAGATTAAAAGTTAGGAGATTTCTCTTCCCGTGCTCAGCTAACATGCAATACTTCAAAAATAACTGCTCATTTTAAGACTGGACCTAATACTTTTAATATGTCCAGACACTTAGACAGAAGATCATCAACAAGTGTTTGAAAAGCTCCAGTTAAACATCACTGGCCAAAATACTCACACAGTATCAACTGTCACCACTTCTGTTAAATTAGTGACTGTTTTAAAGTGGTATCAACTGTCACCAGTTCTGTTAAATTAGTGACTGTTTTAAAGAAGCAATTATTAATTTCCTTAAATTGCCTCTGGGGCATAACAGGACAGATGTCTTAAGTGAGTTCTTCAGATGCCTTATTAAATATATTTAATGATTCTATTACAGGATAAACTGTGATGTAGCATGCTGGCAACAGGGATAGAATTCAGTTTGAAGTTAACATCAAAGGTGCCCAAACTGCCAAAAAGTCCATCTGCAGAGCAACTCAGCTGACCACCCACTTGAAAAAAAATCCAAACCACTCCCTAAAAGTCCAGTGGAAGCCACACTACAATAATGTGTCTGCAGGCATCCAAGCTGAAGTGTACAGTCTGAAACTTGAATCCTGCCAAGCTAATGCCTGCTGCAATTAACATGGATGCATCACCTAGGAAAGCTGAGCAACTTATTACAGCTCCATTGTATCACTGGAAGAGTGGACACTTGTTGTAAACTACTTCTCCCAGATGTGATATTAGGGCAGCCCTGCCCTTTTCACAGCTATTGCATGTGGCTACACACCTCGGTACAGTGGTACCTGCATGAATTAGTAATGAAGAGAACTAAGCTAATGTGGGTTATACAGCAGCAAAAGATCAGCAAGTGCTCTATCATTTACACTCAGGGTGGTAGGCAGGCAGCAGAAACGGCTTTAATTGCTGTAACTAGATCTGGAAAAGACTCTCTGCCATACCCACATTTGCAGCATACTAACTTGCAAGAAGTTAACCTAAGTTAGAATAGTCTAGTTTTGGGTGATGTCAGCAGTATTTTTTTCAGAAAGCTCATTGCAGAATAGCCCACACTACAGAGGCTGTAAACCCTGAAAAGCCAACACTCTGCAACTTAGCTTAGCGTTTCCTTTTTCTGCTTAAAGAAGCAGCTCAAAAGGGAGCAAATCAGTAAGAAATTTTTAGCAAAAGCCTGAAAGAAATAATCATAACTGACTCTTACAGACTAAGCATCAAAATGCATATATTCCAAGCAATGAATGTACTAAAACCCAAACCTGTTATGAATCGAGAATTCCTTCCCCTCCTCCCCACAGACCATACCATACTTACTACTTAATAAGTTGTCTAACACATTCACATCCAGGTCTGTGTGTGTTCTTTGCTGCTGTGCTACCAAATGACAAAAGTCCTGAGCAGCTTTTACTATGTCTGCTTTTCCATCTTCTGGAGACAGCACCTTCAATGTAGATTGGCAATTTAAAACTGAAAGTACAAAACACAGTTTAAAAGCAACAGAAATAAAGTTGTCTTGCACATACTTTAGATATTTGCACAATACGACTGAAAGTAACTTGTACTTTACTTCATACAACTACTCATAGATACACCTCGTATCTCTTACAGAAGTGGGTAAGTCATCTGGATTTGCTGTATTACAAACCCACAAACTTAAGGCAAGTATTTTGAATCTTGTGAAAAGGGGTTTGTTTAATTCAGTCTTGAAATGTATAATCTTCCAGGGAACTCACACTGGTTCTCATGCTGCCAGGCAAAACACTGAGAGGAGGGTGCTTGGATAATACCTTAAGGGGTAGGAAGCAATGCAGAAATACTTCCAGTTCAGGGAAAGGAAAAGAAAAAAAAATAATCTAATTCCTACCCTAAAAGAGGAAGGTGTGTTTAACAGCTACTGTGGATATTCAGGTGACACAATGATTAAGCTGGGGCCCTCCCTCAACATGATCTTTCAGCAGCACTTGACAATTGATGCAAGAGCTACAATACAGATCTAAGATTTCTACAGAGAAGCTAGGAACCAGATATTACTCCAGAATTCACCCACTAATCTGCAATTATGTCTGTGACTTAAGACAGCATTTCACAACAATAACATTCTCATTGTCTGCACTATTATGAGGCAAGAGTCTCCTCACGCTATATCACTTGCACCATTATCAGATCTGGTAAGGTACCCAAGAGATAAACTTACCAAGGAAGCTTTCCACATCTAACTACATTCAACAGCTGCTATCACTGAATTCATTCATTTCCCTTTAACTTGTGTCCTTTACCTTCCTGGTGTCATTATACATAGCTATGACAACCAGCAGTTTTGCTCTTCCCCTTTTTCCTCCCCACTTTGAGCTGTGTGTTTGGAAATGCACACATTGTTGATTTGACATCAGTTCCCTTACACTGACTCCAGTGCCTTTTCAACTCTCAACAAAAGAATTCATTTCACTGAAACAGTGAGGAGTTGAGGTACACTGATGGAGTGAAGGGGTCATGGCACAGCAGTCAGGCTAAAGGGAGGACAACCCAGTAATGATTACTACAGCAAGGAGAGAGCAATGCCTCACTGTTAGTTGAGAACAAATAAGCACCACAAGAGTTTAATACTAGCCCAGAAAGGCTAGATGTGTTCTGATAACCAGTGCTTCAGGAAAAGGTCACTGTACACAGGAGTGTGTTTAAATAAAAGCAGAGTTATGACTTATATACAGCTATTTAGAGCCATACCAAGCCCTCCTTGTAATTCATCTTACCTCGACCAGCTTTGTCTTGATTTGCAAATTCCACAGCATACTTGGAACAATCTAGTCCTAAGAGTTCTTGCTGCTGTTTTAAAATTTCGTCCATCAATCTTGAATTATTCCTCTTGAAAATACCTTTAAAAAAGGTTGCATGTTAGTCAACTCCTATAAAGGGTGCTACAAAATAAACTTGACACTAGGCAGGAAGAAAAAGGTAGTCAGTACTGGTTTCAGACTGGGTATCACAGGCATGGCTAAGAATCCAAAGCAAATACTACTGCACATGACTAATGTCAGTGACCTTGGAAAGACAACTCATGTGCTTTTGTTCCTCTTTCACCCAAAATTATTTAAGTAGCAATCTGCAATTGCATCAAGGATAGCTTAAGATTTACTTCATTCTCCTTAGCATGCTAGCCAAAGTCTGAGAAAGCAATAACCCACCAGCACAGAACCACCAAGTCAGATTAGCACCAAGTTTCTTTAAGGCCCAAGCTGTTGCAGAAGTGCAGTTTAAGTCTGCTACCACGTACTGCCACATCACTAAGGCTGCAGCTAGCAAAGCAAGTCACCACGAAATCAGCATTTCAGGTCACAGTAACCATCCACTCTTAAGCCATGGCCAATACCATGGATTTCCTCATACAGGAATTTCACAAGCAGTATATTCCAAGCAGTTAATGCAATCCCCAAGGCCTTTCTATACTTACATATTTATGTTAAACATATTTTGAGTACAAAAAAATTATGAAAATTTGTTTACCCAAACATACTTGGGTTCCTGTACTAAAATATATTCTAGCTTTTGAGTAACATAATGCAACTATTTCTAATTAAAAGCCACAGTACAAACTAAATGTTATAGCTTAAATATTTACAGTGCAAAAGTATGGCTAGGTATATTCACTCAAACTGGACAGTGCTTTTATCACATTGTATTCAGCAGTGCTTACCAAGTTTCATTAAGAAATCTTATGTCAAGCACTTCTGTTGACCAGTCTAAAAATACCCACACACACATCTTACAAGGCACACTGAGCTTGTATATAGTTTTATGATTCATCTCCTTAACCTGGTTCTAGTATCTTACAAGACACACTGAACTTGTATATAGTCTTATGATCAGTCTAATGATTCATCTCCTTAACCTGGTTCTAGGATTTGAAACTGCTACAACAGTTTCTACATCAGTAGTGGTCAAATATTGCACCAGCACTGAGCTAAGACCCACTAGGAGTTTGAAACACGAAGTGATACAATGCATTTATTTTAAATGCTAGCCTTTAGGCCAGTTAGTACTTTGCTGCAGGTTTTATCAGAGGTTTTAATAGCTGGTGAAGCATCTGGATTTCCTCCTATCCTATATACTTCCTGTAAAAAAAAGTAATTTATTTTCTCACAAACGTGTTAGTGATGCTTATAACTGATTTCACATGTTTACAGACAAAGGAATCTTGTAAGTACCACCAACCTTTTGCTAAGTCTAAACTAAATTGTTACACTCTGTGCTCCTGCTTTCTAGCATGTATCTATACCTAACAGAAATTGAGAATGCTGCTTTGAGTAATGCTGTTTGATACAGCTCTGCTAGGGTGGGTCTGTTCCGTGCTAGGGTTAGTACTGATTGTCTTCCTTATCCCTAAGGTCAGCAGCACTGCAGCTGCCGCAGTTGCTAATCCCACACCATCTTCAAGCCAGGTCCGTACAAGGCTGCACGTGCCTCAACTCCCCTAAGGTCAGCAGCACTGCAGCTGCTGCAGTTGCTAATCCCACACCGTCTTCAAGCCAGATCCGTACAAGGCTGCACGTGCCTCAACTCTGAGAGTCACTTGGCTTCCATACATTTTTTGAGATGAGAAAAAAAGAACTATATTCAATATCCAAAGATGTGACATAACTAGAAAAGGCTCCCAATCTGGGAAACAGGCAGTTGCTGTCTTTCTCCTCTTCCCACCCAACACTAATGATATCAAACCCTTTCACATGAAATCTTTTTGCCTATTCCTGTTAAAGCTCCAGAGAACAGATGTAAGAATCCATACTTCAGCTCTAAAGGAAATGAAGGCATTGAGGGCAACAGGTAGAAGAACAGCCCAAGGTGTTTGCTGCTCAGTAAAAGGGACATCAGATAAAGCACTTGGTCCAGCTCTGAAGATCCTTAACACACACAGCAGATACAGACTTGCTACACATGCTGTTCTGATTTATCTTAAGAATATCACCCTTCCATCCTCTCCATTTATCTCACCCACTCCCTTAGTTGTTGGGTCGTGTGTGGCTCTTGGAATAGCAGTTTAACACAAACAGGCAGTCACTGTAGTTGTCCCTCACAGATGCAGCATGCCTTCCTTGGAAAGGCCTCCACACCTAAATCCCCACTGATCCACCAACCTTGACACATACAGTTTTCTTAGAGAGAAGATCCTGAAGCACATCAGAAGGAAGTAAAAATTCAAATTAACTGAAACCTTAAATTAAAACCAATAGCATTTGGGAACTTTACTCCTGCAGCACTTTGTCTCTCACTCAGTGCACGTAAGACTTTTTCTTATGAACGCACACAACTGCAAATCCAGTTCTGCAAATGGCAACATCCATGGGCCAAATTCATATTCAACTTCAAAAATGTTACGTGGCTGTAGCTCAGATTTGTGCCCCTTTCCCTGGCAATATCTCAAAACCCCATTTGTCTCCAAGGCTCAATTTGTAAAACTTTGGAAATATACCCAGGTTAGTTCTGGAAGTTGCTATTGCTAATTTATACATGATAAATATAGTAAACAAGTGCACGAGTAGAGCAACTCACTATCAGAATTGAAGTGTTCCTAGACAGCAAAACTTAAGTCTTGATTTACCTTCTAATTTTGTTCAGTCTTCCACAGAAGTTGAAAGCAAGCCCATAATATGGTTTTAACATTACAGAAAATGAACATCTGACAAAAGATTTAAGGAATTTTCACAATACAACAGCTCTTTGCTGTTAAGTGGCAAACATTTGGGTCCTACTACTGTTTCCAATACAGAACACAAATTGTCACTCTTATCTCTCATTAGGAAAAATTTCTGGTTTTGAAAGGCAGAAATGGTTTTGTTCAGTCAGATTTCTGGAGCCTCTGCAAGCTGGTGCAAATGTGACCATTCCTGCAAACAAAGTGTTCTAAGAATTACACATATTCAAGCACCATAATTCTCAAAACAACACACTATGAATCTTCAGGTTTTGGCTGTGGTTTTAGGTTTGATTGCTTTGGTTTTGTTTGCTTTTAACTACTGAGAATTTGTGAGCTGTTTTCAGGGATAATTCTTGTTTTTACATCATGAACTGAAACATGTATTGGTCATTAGTTCTCATTAGAGCTGAGGCAAACCAGAAGTGTTTCAGCTTCCTGCAGTAGTCCTCCATTACACAGGTCTTTTCCATTGCACATACCTGTTGCTCTGATTAACAACAATTACAAGCCATGCCCTTTGCTGGCAACTGTGGTGTCGCAGCACTTTAGGGTTAGAGACTGAAAGTTTGTAATTAAGAGGTTGCAAGCTCAGCAGAAGCAAAAGTGACATGAATTGTGAACTGAAAGGAAAAAAATGGCACAGAGAAACACCAGGTGATGTCAACCATTTCTTTGCCTGACTACACTACCACAGTCACCACCTGTTAGTGCCTTGGTGGCATTTCAAAGTTCAACATTCTCAATTGCTCTACTTTTTAAAGCAACAGAATCTGGTAAAACACAGAATAAGAGTCAGTTCTTCCTTACAAGGGAACACCTTAGCCAAAGTTAAGCCTATGAAAAAACACATTTCCACAGCATTTCAGTTATTTACTTTTTCTTTGCTCCCTTCCAGTGTTGACAGAGTCATAAGGTAACAATCTGGGTATTAACATTTTGGGAAATGTCAGATCATAACCCACTTCAAATAATGCACATGTAAGAAACTGTATTAACACATGAACAACTTTTGCCTACATCTCTGTGTTGGATCACACTGGCTGATAATGGAGGAAAGCATGGTCATTACACTGAACCTCACAGGATATAGAAAGTTTGAGAAGACCATCCATATATGTTTTTTTTCCAAGAGCCTAGAAAAAATAATCCAAGTTTGCATGTGGCTGAAGTCACTTATTTTTCACTCCGATTAAAGCCACTTAAGACGGAGCTAACAAAACAAAGAATTCAAGCTAGAACTTGGAACCTCACAGGTGATAATTCCTCACACATTTCTTGGAAGGACATTGTGCACTAGTAGAAAAAGAGCTCAGCAGCAATCAAAAGAAGGAATACTACTTTCATATTTCCCATACCTATAAGGATGCACCTTCTACAGATTAGCATTAGTTCTTTTAATAAACGTGGTCCAAGAACACCAAAATGCAATTGTTGAATGTGATGTTCCACATGGGTGAAGGGCCACAACAGATGCCACGTGATACCAGTATCTCACAAGTGTTCCAGTGACACAAAATCACAACACATTTACCCTCCCCCGGAAATGAACACACTGCATACCCAGAAAGTTTTATGGATTGATCAAAGCAACTAAACATCCGACTAATTTGGAAGAGACTAAAATCCTACATTTGGAGCTAATTAAATAATTTCTTTTGCATACTGGAGTACTTTATCCTTTCAAAACACTTCTAAAAGAAAACTGGTCAGAGGCAAAACAGTTCACTGGAAAGCTAAATCCAGGATGAAGAAAGTCAGGTTCTCAACACGGTCACACTACAGGCTTTAAGAAACCTTTGGTTGGGCTTGAGGATCTTAAAATCTCTTCCAACCTTGATGATTCTATGATCTATTTAGAAGTCCAAAGTACTCAAGTGCCAAGATTCAGCAAGGTTCCAAAAAAGCACTCTAGACTTGTCACAAACTATTTCAGGAAAGCTTCACTGACGGACAGAAGTAACACTCAAGCAAGTTCTCCCAAGTGGCAAAATAACTAACTGAACAAAGTTCAGTTATACAGCACTGGTCAAAGGCTTCTGGTGCCCAGAAGATATCATGAGAAGGCTGCAGTGTTCCCTCAGAGATAAGGTCTTGACCAGTAATAGGACTGGTGATACAGCAGTCAAACGAAACAAATCCTTGATCAAACCCCTACAATTTTAGTCAATCTACATATAATAACC